TCAGGGTCGCTCCGTGTCGCCCGGGCGGCGTCCTGTCCCGGCTTCCAGGGCACAGCCGGAGGCCCCGCGACTTCCTCCGTCTCAGCGTCTGCTCGTCGCCCTTATTTTCGCGAGTTCGTCCCGAAGCGGCTGCCATCTGTCCCCACTCCCTTCACCTTTCCACCCAGCCCCCAACGCCCGCTCTGGCCACCCTGGGGCAGTCCAGCTCCTTTTCATTCATTCATAAGCTAAGAATGAGGCTGGAATGAGCACCATGGTAAATAGTGTTCAGATTACGTGAGATGCTCAGGGTGGGGGTAGGAGGGCAATTTCTAGGTCCAATAATACAAATGTAATGGTTACAAGAAACTTTACGGAGAAGGGTAGGCGTCCTGACCCTATCGGGTCAAATCCACACTTGTATGGGCTTGATTTTTCTGTATATTTAGTTGTGACAATCAGAATGCATAAACACACTGAATATAAATAGCGATACTAATAACGTATTAGTAAACGATGTCAATATGAGATTTATTTCTCAGATTATACCAAAATGGGTTGGTTGGAAGTCAGTTGTACTATTTAATACTAAAAGAACATAATCCTCGTCGACAGAGAAATAGGAACTGTGTGTAGAGCCTGCTGACCATTCCAGGAACTAAGGAAGCGAACAGTGTCACCAGACTAAATGTGAGACCAGCCAGAGGGGCATTCTCTGCACCTGAGCACTGCTGGTGAGGTGGGACAGTTGAGGGGTCCCCCGGGTGGCCCCTCCCCATAGGGAGCCCTCACAGCCAAAAAGATGGGGAGTGCCAGCTCAGCTGTCCTCTTCCCGGGCAGCTGTGACAGGGCCACTTCCAAGGTTCCATGTGCACGGCTGCCCCCCACCCCCTTCCACATTCTCCTTTTGGATTCTTAATGCCCTGGAGCAGCCAGGCGGGGAGCCCTTAAGCCCTCTGTGGAACGCGACACCTTCAAGTTGAGTGCTCAGAGCCCCACCTTCTTTCTACCTGCGGGGACATCTCACCCCACAGCCCATGCTCCCTCAGAGTGGGAGGGAGTTGAACAGAGGGAGAGGTGCCACCTGCTTGCTGTCTATCACTGTACAGCCAGCCAGTTCCAACGCGGGGCGGGGGGGTGATTTATTCAAACTAATTTAAGTCACTCTTGCCCTCAGCCAAGCTGCCAGCAGCCCTGGGGAAGGTGAGACCATGGTAGTCACGGGCGGGGCAGGGGGATTCTCATCTGAAGGGGCACCTGCAGCTTCCCACAGGGCAGGGTGGCCCTTGTGTCATCACGGCTGAGACTCGGAGCACAGTGAGTGAGGACAGCGACTCAGGTGGTCGTTTATTCTTTAGTCTGTAAAGCATAGGCGTCTATTGTGCTCAGAGCCCCACCTTCTTTCTACCTGCGGGGACATCTCACCCCACAGCCCATGCTCCCTCAGAGTGGGAGGGAGGGAGTTGAACAGAAGGGAGAGGTGCCACCTGCTGTCTGTTTATCACTGCACAGCCAGCCAGTTCCAACGGTGGTGGTGGGGGGGGAGGGGTGATTTATTCAAACGAATTTTAAGTCACTCTTGCCCTCAGCCAAGCTGCCAGCAGCCCTGGGGAAGGTGAGACCATGGTAGTCACGGGCGGGGCAGGGGGATTCTCATCTGAAGGGGCACCTGCAGCTTCCCACAGGGCAGGGTGGCCCTTGTGTCATCACGGCTGAGACTCGGAGCACAGTGAGTGAGGACAGCGACTCAGGTGGTCGTTTATTCTTTAGTCTGTAAAGCATAGGCGTCTATTGTACTGGGATTCCTGTGTCGGGCATAGGGGCCCCATTCCATCTCCTCGTGAATGGTCCTCTGCTCTGGGCTTCCGATGGCACAGGTGAGAGTCTCATTTGAGGCCGAAGTGATGATGATCTTTGGAATGACAACTTTGTTCCTGCCTGACGTTACCTTTGCCTCAGGTTTCTCTAGAAGGAAGGAAACATCCAGGTATTTAGTAAGCCTGCAGCGAAGCAGACAATGTCTGTGTGACGGCCAAAGCACAGGGACTAGATTCGTGGTTCAGGACAAAGAAACAGGTGAGGTTGGAAGCAGTCAGAACTCTGCGTGGACGTTCAAAAGCTTCACCTAGACACCTTCTTTCCAGGATGAAAGGAGACTTCTGCCATCCGCCGTGGAGACCAGGCTGTCAAAGGCTCAGGCAGGAGACAACCTCGAAAAGGCAGGTGTGCCGTGCACGGACGTTCAAAAGCTTCACCTAGACACCTTCTATCCAGGATGAAAGGAGACTTCTGCCATCCGCCGTGGGGACCAGGCTGTCAAAGCTCAGGCAGGAGACAACCTCGAAAAGGCAGGTGTGCCTCAGGTGAAGTTTCAGGAGCACGATTTCCAAAGGATTCTAAAGCCGGTAACAGCTCTCTGTACAGAACTTTATCAGTCAGAACGCTGCACAAGTGGACACTCCTGATGTTGGCCACATTTTCTTAAACTTAAGTTTACAAGGAATACATAAAACTTGTGAAATGCCGAGTCTGTCAAATGTTACAAAAAGCAGAAGGCCCTTCCCTGCCCGCACCTCTGGGGGTGCAGCTGGAGGCACATCCCTTCACGCCTCCGGTAAAGCACCCCGGGGTCTCTGCGCAGGTGTGTGTGCGTCAGCAGCACTCACAGCATCACATCCTGCACCAGGGCGGCCTGGCCGTTCACCCCGTTCCCACAACACCTCACGGGCCTAGCCACACGGGAATGAGCCCTAGAGCCGTGGTCGGCAAACTGCGGCTCTTTGGCCCCTTGAGTGTGGCTCTTCCTAAGCCTGAGGGATACCCTAATTAAGTTAATAACAATGTACCTACCTATATAGTTTAAGTTTAAAAAATTTGGCTCTCAAAAGAAATTTCAATCGTTGTACTGTTGATGTTTGGCTCTGTTGACTAATGAGTTTGCCGACCACTGCCCTAGAGTAACGACCCACGACCAGCTTCTGAAGCAGGTCCTGGGTCCCTACCCTTGACAGATGAAGGACCTGGGGCACAGGACGTTTAAGTCACCTGCCCCAGGCTGATGGCAGAGGGAGATGCTGGAGCCCGGGGATCAGGTCCAGAGCCCCCTCGAACTTCACCCCTGCAGCCAGCCTGGAGGATTGTAACCAAGTGACCACAGCCTGCACTGGGCACTTCCTGTCATCCTATTCTCCATTTAGTTTCAAGTGGGGAATTTATTTTTTCACATTGTTTTATACAAGTGTTTCATATATTGCAACTACTTAAAGGGTTAAGAATATTTAATTTAAAGTAATATGTGTTGATTAAAAATTGCGTATGGAATGATTCTCCTTGCAGGACATTCAAGGTGGCCACTCACAGGGCTGCTGACCGACACTGGCTTCTGCTTGACTCTGGCTGGAGGGCTCAGGGATGGGACCGCTGACTGCAGCACCTCCACCAGGGGGCAGCTCGGGGCTCCGGGCTCCAGGCTCCAGCCCCCAGCGAGCCTTCCAATGAGCCTGTCCTGGCCCAGCCTCAGAAGTCACCTCTGCCACATTCTGATGGTTACAAGAGCGATTTAGGGGGAGGGACGAGGCCACATCCAGGTGGGAGGAGCATCACGGACACACCACGGAACTCGAAACTCGCGGTGGGCGGCCTGGGCTTGTCTCGGGGAAACACCAGCAGCCGTGCATCTACCTTCACTTCAGGGGGGGGCTCCGGGCTCCGGGCTCCGGGCTCCAGCCCCCAGCGAGCCTTCCAATGAGCCTGTCCTGGCCCAGCCTCAGAAGTCACCTCTGCCACATTCTGATGGTTACAAGAGCGATTTAGGGGGAGGGACGAGGCCACATCCAGGTGGGAGGAGCATCACGGACACACCACGGAACTCGGAACTCGCGGTGGGCGGCCTGGGCTTGTCTCGGGGAAACACCAGCAGCCGTGCATCTACCTTCACTTTGCAGCAAACCTCAGACTCCATGTCCATCCATCACACCAGTTAGACTTAAAGAATTTGGGTGCAGCTCTCAGAGACCAGGACTCGCCTGTGTTCCATGGTTTTTTGAGGTGTAGTCCACACAAGATAATATGCACAGTTCTCAACTGCTCAGCTGGGTGAGTTTTCACAGTTGCACCCACCAGTGTAACCACCCAAACATGATGCAGAACGTTCCGTCGCTCCACAGAGCTCCCGCAGGCCTGTTCCCCATCAGCCAGCAGGCCCTTTGGTGTCTGTCCCATAGTGGTCAAGCTTACTTTCAATACTTGGGTAATACACAGAATTCTTGACTTGGAACTCTCCCTTTCCCTGAAGCTGTTACGGTGTTAGGTTAATTAAAGAGACTCCGACTTCCACAAGGTCTCAACCTCTCAAGTGAAAAGCAGAGGTGTGCGCCCTCATTCCATGTTCTTCCTGGCAGACTGTCTCCACTCGCTCCCTGCAGGCCACCGAGACAGACCGGCCACTCTCATTCCACGCAGCCGTGTCTGGCTTTACTCGGCCTCTGCAGCATTGAACACTGCTGACTAATTTTCCTTTCTTTTTTTTAACAGCTTTATTGTGGTATAATTTACATACCGTAACATCCACCTGTTTAAAGTATACACTTAAAAAAATAAAATAAAACATACACTTCAAGGATTTTTAGCTAACTTTCAGAGGCAGGCAACCCGCGATCCAGTTTTAATATCTCTTGTTCCCATTTGTGGCCACCCACTTTCTCACCCTCAGCCCGGCTTCCCTCTATACGTTTGCCTTTTCTGGGCGTTTCATGTAAATGGAAGGGTAACACCATCGTCTCTACGTGTGGCTCCTGCACCTGGTGCCCGGCTGTGGAGACTCCCTCCAGGTCCCACGTGTCAGTAGCTTGACCCTTGTTGCTGAGATGCCTCATTATTGGAGAAACCACACTCTTTGACTTCTTTCTTGAAACTCTAGCCTCACCTTTTTTTAAAATCCTCACTCAAGGATACGTTTATTGATTAGTTTTTAGAGAGAGGGGAAAGGTAAGAGAGAGAGAGAAACATCGATCAGTTGCCTCCCGTACCGGAGATCAAACCTGCAACATATGTATGTGCCCTGACCGAAAATCAGACTCGCAACCTTTCAGTGTGTGGGACGACGCTCCCACCAAGACACACCGCCAGGGTGTCCGTCCTCACTCTAGCTTCTGACCTTTCCCCTCTGTGTCCATCTTCTCTCCACCTTCCTGAAATGACAGGCAGTCCCCTGCCCACACCTTCCCTTGCAGAAGTCCAGCTCTGGAATCTGCAGATGAGTCGATCCTGGAGGGGCCAGGCAGCTGAGGCCCACTGCGAAAAGGTTCTTGTTCACACGATGCAATGCCTCTCCTGGACCAGACAGTCCTGCCCGTGTGTGACACCTGGAGCCCGAGGGCGGCAAAGTGTAGGCACACACACCCTGCTGGGCTCATCCGCTGTGCCCCGTGTGCCCTCCCTTTACGTGGGAGACATCGAGTTCCTCGGCAGTAAAGCCCCTTTTGGTTGGCTTTTCTGTGATTTGCAGCCAAAAGCCTCCCGATAGACCGGCAGCATTCTCCAAGCCTCCCTAGGACTCTGGCTCCTCCTGTGGTCTTCCATCTTCAAAGGAGGATTCCTACTGGGATTTGAAGTCCAGGCCCTGCTCAACACCCTCATTTCAAACAGATGCTAAAATCTGAACCTGCCTGAGCCCAGCTCCTCCTGACCCAGCAACTACTCCATCTCAAGGTCACTGCCACCCACCCTCCTGGCTCCCGTCCCCACCTCTCATCACTCAGCAGGTTCCACTGGTCCTACCTCCTGGATCCTTTGTGATTCCCACTGCCAGTGGCTCATCAGTTCCTACCTAATAGCAATGGGCCTCTGACAGGTCTTGCTGCCCCAAACAGCCTTTATTCTGGAGACATTTTTTCCAGGGCACCAACCCCATCACACGTCCCTTGTTTTAAAAATTCCATTTCCACAACCCACATGGTAGAACTGATAGAAGACTTCATCTTCTGGCTGCTTCTGTGGCCTCAACCCCCTACCCACCCTGGACTGTGACGAAGTGAATAAATTTGCCACGCGATCGCAGCCCTTTGCCCACCGAAGTTGTTCTTATATGTGACTGTGCTCCCGACTGGGGCAGCCTTCCAAGCTGCGGGCCCAGTCTCGGATGCTGAGGAACGACAGTGCCTCCACCCGCTGGGACAGGAGCGGTGAGCGCTGTGTCTAGGTGCTGAGCCCCTCCTGTTAGGCGTGTGTCACTTGGCAACTCCCCCAACCTTTACTGAACCTGTTTCCTCTTACACAGAGATCCTAAACCCGCCCACCCTGTTGTCAGGATCCCTGTTCACCCCGTCCCCAGACTCCCTGAAGCTGCAACCTGGGCTCTGTCCCCTTTTGGGTGGGTCCTACCTTTGACTCCACGTGCCGGCACCTGCTGCGTGGCGGCCCCTTCCTTCCGAGAGGGGCCCTCTGCAGACTTAGAGGAAAGACTGTCCACCGACCTTTCCTTAGCCTTTGGGCCTGAATGGGTGCACCCCATTTGCTCCTCACCTGGAATATATGGATAGTTAATTGGACATGAATCTATTCTAGAGGCAATGCATGCGTTCTTCTTCAGTTGCCTTCTTTGGCTCAGAATGAACGAGGCAGCTTGAAAGACCTGGGTGACTCCATTTCCCTAAACCGGATATTTCCATGGCAGAGAGGGTTCCCGAGGCACGGTCACCGGGACTCAGGCGCAGGAGGGGGCGCCCAGCACCCCCAGCTCCCGCAGGTGCGGCC